ATCCTCGTTCGTCGAAGTGAACGCGACAAGAGTTCCGAGCTCCCCTTGTGCTTGTTCTGTGGTAGCAATGTAGGAACAGAAAAGGAACTGTACTATCGCCCCCAATGTTTAGAAACTCACTCGAGAAAAAAGAAATTAACGAAGTCGACCTCTCGGGATCTCGCGCACCGATCCCGGACCTACGAACAGTCAGCCCAAAACGATGATGAATCCATGTAATTGATCGATTCTGATTATTACCGAGCCCTTCAATCTGCCGCTCGATCGTTTCCAAGAGCGTTCACTTTTTAGGGAAATCTGAAGCGCGCTGATATTTTCCCCCTCGCTTCACGTGTATAAGCTTAATGCGCTTAACGCGAAACGCTTTCTCTACAGTCCCTTTTTAATCTACACGGTGTACACAATGAAATACACGTATTATACAGACAAAATCTCACACACGGGTATACACGAGTATATATACATATATATATTATATGTATTAGTAATAGTTGGTAGGTGTTCTTGATCATTTTTAATACATAAGCGAACGCGCACGCCTGAGCTACGCTACGATTAGAGGATGTCATTGATATATTATATCTATATGTACGTGTATATTAATCGCCCAGGTGTTTAGATACTCTTTAGGGATATAGATAGGTCCGCTTAGAACGTTGCACCGGTATCACTTTTGCTGATTGCTTGTTTCGATGACCCAGTTTCGTATCGGGGCTCCACTTATAATATCGTTGCTGTGTTAAATATGTTCTTCGATACAACCGATTTTCTGGGATCCATTGCGATCATTAGTTACGTTTAAAACTATTCCAGCGAAATTGTCGATTACACGTATGTCTTCTATTGTAGAAACTTCTAATGCGTTGGTTCAGTTGAATTCATACTTACGAATTAGCAAAATTCAAGTTAAAAGTGAATCGAATAATTCTAGTTGGGTTACGAACAAACAGCGAAATTGTAATTGGCGGTCTAAGAATTTTTTGTAATCGCAAATAATTGAAAGCCAACGTATTTAGCAGTTGTACGTTAGAGAAACATGTTCTCGTGATTGTAGTGATGATAATAATGATATAGGTCCCAGACAGGACTCGCAGCTTAGCTTTAGCCACTAAGATACCATATATACATATATACCTACTGTTCTCTTAGAAAATGAAACGCGACTATACAAGCGCTTGCAGCGTAATCCGAGCGAAGAATAGGTTCCTAGCTGGTAAAGTTCCTCGAGCGAAATTTCACCGTAGTTGAACGTCGCTTCGCTTTCTTTCGTCTAGTGCGATCGCTTTTTTCTTCGATTCGTAATTCGAAAGGGTTGCTCCTTCAGCGATCGTCGCAGACGATCGATCAGGAGAGAGAAGGGTAATTGGAACGTTTTTAACTCGACAACGATGCGATCTGGGCGCTCGACTCGTCGCATCACGAGAGAACACTTCTGTTCGAAACAGTCTTTCCCTGGGTTTCTCTCAAATTCAGTTGGACAACTGATCGAAAGGGTAAAAATTGAAGACATTGATGTTACTTGATTTTCCGCAGTGTGTATAGCGAGAGTATGACGAAACGCCTGCATAGCTTCGAGAAATAGAATTAATATTCGATGTGTGTTACGATCACTGTACCTCGTTGTAATACTTCAAAAGAATGGCTTGATCTCCTCTGTCCATAATCCCCGGCCCCCGTCGTGTCCTACCGGCATAATTAACGAAACACGGTCGCCCCTACGCCCCCCCCCCTTGACTACAAGTTTTCAAAAACATGAATCGAACAAAAAAAAAATCAGCGAGAATCAGAGAGAATAAAACGTTTCTCGAATAGCATGAATAGAGAAAACGAAGGAAAGAAGCTAATCAACAGACATAAAACGAAAAAAAAAAAACAAAAAAAAAGAATCAATGAACGCGTAAATATCTAAATTAATAAAAAAAATTCAATCTATTGGGTATCCGCGATATTGTAAACGAGCATCACACGAAAAGAAGAAAATGAAAAACAAACGAAACGAAGATTATTACGTAATATAATATATATATATATAAATATATACTTTTAAGGTAATGAATTTATAAAGGTATNGAGAGAGAGAAAAATTGCAGAACAACAAGAACAACAACAAAATAATATGATAATACAACATAACAACACAACACTATATATTGTAATCTTATTTTTCGAACATAGTAATGTAATGTAGAATATAATATATGTATTATATTATATATTATATATATTATATATAATATGATATTGTAATTGATCATTTCGTGTAGCGCCAACGGCCGGACGAAGTGTTTGGAATTATAAGAGAAACAAATGATGAACAAAAAAAAAAAAATGAAGAGAATGTGACGAGAGACCTAAAATACAATTAATTAAGGTGGGCCAGAAGCTTCGGCGAGTGCGGCCGAGTGGCGCGGGGTCACGGCACAAAACATATTTTTACCAAGGTTTTTCGAATGTTCAGTAACCCCCCGCGATTCCTAATAAACGAAAACATTAAGGAAAATGGAGAGAGTAAAGGAAAGGATGGTCATGTACCCGCGCGCCACCATTGCTTCCGCGCCGATTTTCTTAGCGTGCAGCCGTCGATCAGTCGTCGTACGATCAGATTTCGTCAGGTGTTCGTCTGTGTTCAGAGTAATGAGTAGGCGGAATAAAGGGAAATGGTGTGACAAAAAAGGAGGACGGACGAACGTTGCGAATTTAAAAAAAGTATGTAATGCGATCGCGCAATGAATGCAATTGCTTAGCAAGTTTCATTCTACCAAGTTCGATCCTCGCATTGTTTCACACTGTAAATTAAGGTTCTCGAGGAAGAGTAACGTCCTCGTGTGACGACAGCAAGGTAAGAAATGGAAACGAAGGAAACAAGCGTTCGACGACCGAGCCACGGCGAACTTTCAATTGGTCCGGTCAGAGAATGGAACGATGTCAGCGCTTAGATAGTGACGAGAACACATAAACGTGATCAGTAGTGATCGATAAAGATGATAAAAACGATCAACGCGCGTAGCCCCCCAATGTACTGTCGTCGCCCCACTCGAATTTCATTCTCTGATCGCGATACATGCGTATCCTAATTTTTCAATTTGTCCACGAGAGGACGAAGAGTCGAGCAGAAGCGTGTACAGTCGGGGTGGTTGGTTACTATAATACGAATAAAAAAAACGAATGAAAGAAGAAGGAGAAGAAAAGTCAATTCCCCGATTCCCTTGCACCGTCATCGCTCACCTGTCCGAGAGTTCCAATAGTTTTCGGCACCCGACTCCCTACTTTTTTTAATACGCTCTCACGTACACTTTTAGAAGCTCCACGCACGTCGATTGGAAACGAACATCGGATCATGAGAATTAAATAAAAATGAAAATAAGCAGTCCAAGAGAGATGAGAGAGAAAGAAGATGAAACTAAAACAATGCGTTTTTTGTAATTGTTGAATAGAACCTTTTCGTATTCGACGACGACTTTTGTAATACACGAAGTTACTAATGCTAAGTTACGTTTTAACCGAATACATTTATGCTTCGGATATACATATTATATGTATATACATACATATACATATATACATATATTATATTATTATTATTATTGGCCATCGAGACACAATCGAGTGAGAGAAAAGCGAGAGATTAGAAAGAAAGGAGGAGAGCGAAAGAGAGAGAGAGAGAGAGAACAATATAATCGAAAATCTCATCATAGTCTCTACGATTTATAAATTACTACGACGACGTAGTAGACAATTCAGTTCTTTTCCCATTTTCCTATTTTCGTTTTGTTTCCTCTAAACAATTGTTATATTTCAATGTTTTGTTGTGCGAATATGCTGGCATGTTGAATTCTGTTGGGTAAAGAACTACCTACGAGGCAGGTTAATTATCTGTTTTCTGCGAGGCACAATCTGCTCGTGACGGATTTATAATGAGATCTCTATCATTCTCTGCGTTTCGTTATAATTTATTTGCCTTCCATTTTCTCCGTGTGGGACGGCATGAAATAAAACGTTGTGCCTTGTAATTTATTTCATTCAGTTTTTTGTTAATATGTATTCGATCATAACGAAGGATGTAAACGAGGAAGAGAAAAAAATTCGTGCATTAAACATAAATATGAAAAGCGTTTGAGTATGAGTGTTGTAATGCATGAGGCACTACGAGCAACTTGCGCATCCTTTTTAATAGAAAAAAGTGGAATTGAAGGAAGACGACAGAGAGAGAGAGAGAGAGAGAGAGAGAGAGAGAGAGAGAGAGGAAAAACTGTGTACGGTTTAGGAGAAAATCAACATTGTGATGTTTATTGATCAAATATATCCGAAAAAAGAAAAAAGTGAAAAAAAAAGAAAAAAGAGGAAGCCCACTGGTTGAGGCCCTACATTTCTGACTACACTATAAATAATAAATATAATATAAAATTTATATTAGCCACTTTTTTTATATCCTTCATTTAATATCCTCTATAATTTTTTCCTTTATTCTAACAATTTTTCTTACAAAATGAAAATGTTGCTTATTCGAATAATCAGTATAATATTTCTAATGGTGTATCGGGTATTTGATATTTCCTTGTGCACAACTACAGACAGACATTTAGCATCAGAACGCCTTTGGATGGAAATGTATAATAACACCATTNTAATTTTGAAATAGAAGTTAATTCTATATAGATATGATATGCTTTTTCCAAGAATCATATCTGTTTAATATCAGCTTACGGTCTTCTCGGAATATCATTTGTTCAGAAAAATTGGTTCTACAAAGAAATTAAAAAATAAATTCCTCAATCTACTGTTGAACGAAATATTGCTAAATCAATAAATCGTTTTTCATGACATTTAATATTCCGTATTTATAAATTGCACGCAAGGCAACAACGACTGGATTGGTGCAACGTAGCCGATGCAGCATAATCCGACCAATTGAACGTAATTGTGCGCCAGTCGACTCGCGATCCATCTCGCTGCTACACACCTCGGTGTACGGGTCTGCGATTTAATGGAAGTGCATTGATAAGATGCGACTGCGCGTTCCATGATAATGTTCACGGAAAATTCACTTGAAGTTAGCCACGATTTTGCACGGTTTACCGTGTCCGGCGTTATCAATGCATTATCATAGTGCAGGCGTTGAAAGGGTAAAGTTGAAAGGGAAAGTTAAAGACGTAGGCACAAGGGAGCGTCTAGTTGATCAAACGTACACAGAAGCTGAACATTTTCACTCGACACGTAGGATTGTTCGTACATATTTGTATACATTTAATCGCAAAGAATCTGAGGATACTTTTCGAACAATTTAATATTTTTTCAGATACCTCCACTTTCTAAACTATAGTTTCTTTCTAACTGATTTAAATACGATCAATTACCCGGGAAACGTTAGAGCAATACCATTTACAGAATGAAAAACATGCCGTGGCCGCGTCTATGACGCTTTCTATCATCGAATCCGAGCATGCGTCCTCCCACTCGGTGCTCACGACCGCATTCTCGCAAATAGAGATACACGGAATCGAGCGTGCAACTTCAGGCAGCGCAAGTGGAAAGACCTTCTACATTGCGAAGTGGTACGTAAGCGCAGTACGTACGTATTATGTACATACACGTAAACCGATCATTAAACGCGACGTCGACGGATCCGATCGCGCGATAATTGATTCGGAGCCTGGCCTCTGCGTCTGAACGGGACGATCGCATCGTAAAAGAAAAAATGTGTCGGTGCTGGCCGCGTAAGTGGCACCCCGAGCTAGTGAATTGTGCGCGGTCGATAAACAGCGAACAGCAGGGAGAGCCTCGAGGGGAAGAAGATCGTCGGATTTGAGACCGCTGGATCGACGGCGTGTCTGTGACCACGCAACACGCGCATATCACAATCATCGTGACAACTATACGTGGACGCTGTTACATGGCGAGTTACTCGCGAGGACGATCCTCCCGACAATCCGAGTGAGTACAAACAATTTCCTCGATTTTAAAACGTTCTCCGCACGATCTGGACCGATTCGCGTCGAGAACCTGTCGCTCGATCTTCGTCTGCTTTTACGTAGCTGGCAAGAACGATACGCGTTAGATCAACGTTACAGTCTCGACCATCGTTTCATTGTCACCGCAATTTTTTCGCTGTCTGTCGTCTGACGCAGTTCGCTTTTACGTATGTATTAAATCGCTCCTACTGAGTGAGTGAATGGTGCGTCTGACCACAGCTGTCACGATCCACTGTATGACCCGTCGAGCGTGTTCCACTGATCCACACGCTACGAATCTAATATTTACGCCGCGTACTTTCATATACAGTTGCACGCGGAGCTAAGCACGCGACCGTTTTAGATCGATGCTCCTGCTGGATTATCGCCGATTACTCCGCGATTTATGCAATCGATAAGCTCGAGGATGAACCATCGCGCTGAGATTTCTAGCGAACGCCTGTTGATCGCTCGACGGTGATATGCTCTTCTACGCGCGAGATTCATGTCAGTTTTTAATCGACTTTTTTTCGATAAATAGAATATATGTATATTCTCCGATATATAGAGTATATATTCATCGCATATATTATTAATTTTTAATGAACTTCTCCATTGCCCTTAAATAATTACTTTTAACTAAAGTATTTGGATTATTCAATATTTATGTACTGAAATACGGTTAATATAAAATGTTTACGTAAATCAGAATGTAAAAATGAATTAAATATAGAAGAAATTGATTGATTATTGTATTTTTCATTAATCACGTGCAATAGTATTATCTCAACCAATATGGATTGTCGAACCTGTTATACAATAGGCTGCCCGTGATATTGATTCAATTGTAATGCACATGTGTCTCTGTACTGAGCGCAAAATCCATGAGCAGACATTATCCATGAGTTGAAATTATACTTTTCCCCTCTTAGCAGAGGCACCTGATAGTGACAATTTAATTTCACGCCTTCATAGCCAATATATTTTATAATAGATACAGGAATTAGAAATATATTCTGTATCATTTGAATTACATTACGTTACCCGTAATTAATGATATGCACAAACGTACCATACAAACTTTATAGAACGGATATATTCCTCTTCCATTTTCCTCTTATTTAGCAGAAATTACGCGTCAATACAATCCAAATTGAATTTACATAACATAGTAAAAATAGTAAACGAAAACCAATAAGTCGAATGCAGCTGATCAATCATTACTTTTTTTTTCAACTTATCAGCTTTCAGTCCAGTGACACAATGGACGATGATGTAGACGACAAGGATGACACGAAACGGTGAGCATTGAATCAAGAAGTTTTTCCTATTATTATAGTCTTTTCAAATGTCGCATCGAATTAGCGGTCTTCCATCTCGTTCTCAGGAAATCGCGTAATCTGAGCGAGAAGAAACGGCGCGATCAGTTCAACATGCTCGTAAACGAACTTGGCAGCATGGTCAGCTCGAACACGAGGAAAATGGACAAATCGACTGTGTTGAAGTCGACTATTTTATTCCTGAAAAATCACAATGGTAAATCTTATTTATAAACAATTGCTAATTGTATTATAAATTAAAGGAGTAACACCACTGATTCTACAAATCTTAATGTAGTTCTATAAGACATTTTTTTAACAGTAACAACAGTGTGTATAGGAAATCTATTTTGAGATATTTATTGTGTATACATATATGTCTTAAAACATAAGAAAAACATTTTTGTAATCATTTTTTAAAATGCGAGATTTTCAAATATCGTACGTGCTGCAACAGATTTCGTTACAGTAAAATATTCTAAAAACTTGAACTGAGTTCGATTAAAACTGATAGAGTTAGGGTGTACATCGTTTAGGAAAATTCTATGTTGAAAAAAACCTTTGTAAAACATTTAAAGTTTTTAATAACGATCTCTACTGCATAAGAAGGATCTTTCATTTTTTTACGTCTATCGAAGTCTCTGAATATTTGCATATTATTTTTAAAGGTATAAAGAACATTTAAAGTTAGAATAGAAAATTCTTTCTATCACAGTGGCATAACTTCTTCTTAATCTTTGTTATACTTGTATCATGTATCACGTTATGATGCTTTTACTAATTTACAATCTACCCAGATTTTGTTATTATATTAATTCCGGCCGGTAATAATGCTGTAGAAATAGCTGTCAGATCGAGGGTACATGAAATTCAGGAAGATTGGAAACCATCATTTTTGTCTAACGAAGAATTCACGCATTTGATACTGGAGGTATGATTATGCTAAATATAATAGAACATTCCTTCTGTGTTTAAACATCGGTTTAAAACAATATCATTGTTCACTAAGTTTGACATTGTCTCTTGCTTTACGAAAATTGGATAGAACCCGTATAACATTTATATATGATCTGCGTTTTTAAATTTCGATGTAATCAATTATCAGGTAATTAAGATATGAAGAAGTTCTTAATTTTTGAGACGAACTCAAGCTTATAATGAGACTGCTACGTATACCATAATTGAATTAGCGCGTATTGTTGTTGTCACGTTGATTGAAATTGTTGCTGATAAAAACACGAGCGATGTAATTTCTTCAATGTAGGCTCTGGACGGTTTTATAATGGTATTTTCTTCAAGCGGGCGCATTTATTATGTATCTGAAAGCGTTACGTCTCTACTTGGATATCTTCCAAACGAGCTGGAGAACACGACCATCTACGATATCGCGTATCAAGAGGACCAATCTTCCCTTTACAACTTACTATTAAATCCTGCTAGCACACGAGATCGACGAAACATTAAAAAAGGTACATGTTCTTCTTTTCCATCCTCCAACTCTCTAATGACATTGTAAATGCTGTTTGAAACAATTTCCTTCACGCCTAAAAAAAGGCTGTAACAATAATAAATAATAATTATAAAGAAAATAAATTTTTTGTAATATCTNCCAAATAGCTTTCTCATGCCATATAAAAAGGGGAGGTTTGAATGTCCAAGAAGATCCCATATACGAATATGTGCAGTTCGTCGGATATTTCCGTACGTAATTAATCGTTTGTTTTATTATTTGTATATATAATCATTGGTAATTGTATTGTTTATTAGGTTCTAATGCCGATACGGAGGTAGACAGTTTGCTTCCGAACACGAAATTCGGGAACATGGGGATGGACACGAAGTAATTACTTTGTCTTTGTATACGAAGATAAATGATAGGCAATAGTTTGAGAGTATTAAATTTAATCGGGTGTCAATGGAAAGACCAATCTATATTTTTGGAGAAATAACAAAGGCAGCCCGTCGTTATCAAATTCCATTACAATAACTTCGTTTATGTCTTCTTAGATTAGTTTTCGTGGGTACAGGACGCCTCCAGACACCTCAGCTAATCCGAGAACTATGCGTGACGGATAATACGAAATCGGAATTCACGTCACGGCACAGCCTCGAGTGGAAATTCTTGTTCCTGGATCACCGAGCATCGCCCATTATCGGTTATCTGCCTTTCGAAGTACTGGGCACGTCCGGTTACGATTATTATCACGTGGACGATTTGGATAAGGTGGTCACTTGTCACGAATCATGTATGTATAACGTGAGGCATATTCAAAATGTCAGAGCAATTTCGATTTCGAACCGAGGATCTCGAATCATGAATATATTATTTACAGTGATGCAGAAAGGTGAAGGAACCTCCTGTTACTACAGATTCCTTACGAAGGGTCAGCAATGGATATGGTTACAGACTCGATTTTATATTACGTACAATCAATGGAACTCGAAGCCAGAGTTCATCGTCTGCACCCATTCTGTGGTCAGTTATATCGACGTAATTAAGGAATTGCGTAAGGAATCAGATAGTTTTAACAAAGAGCAAGATCGGGATACCCTGATACCCGTTAAGCAAAAGCAGGTATTTCCAACATTCAGCCTGAACGATAAAATGTTTTATTTATTAATTATGGAACTATGATTTCTATTTTGTGCACAGGTGACGACGACCTGTCCAGTTCCATCGACGCAGTGGTCAGTCAAATCATCCAAGACTTCGAAATCTATACCATCGAACACTCGGTCACGGCATCATGCCGAAAGTTCCGACAGCTCCTCGATGTCCATGCACAGTTCGTTGCATTCGCAAATGACCCATGTTTCACGATCGAAAGGCACTTCGGTGAACAGTTCTGCAGCGTCGAAAACTCAAATGCCACAGATGGACAGCACGCAACAGCAACAGCCCACGCAGCAAGCTTTGTTGGAGGTTGATCAGAATTGCATAAATTTCATGGAGCAAACACCATACGCGACAGTCAATTTGCAGCCTGTGGTCAGTACCGGGTTTACACCACCCTCTGCGCCCATTATTTCAACGTTGCCGGCGCACGAGGTAAGGCAATCATTATTCCTTTAACGCGTTGAGATATTCAAGAGATTTTTTTTTCAAAATATTATGTAATCAACTCCTTAGAAACTAATTTATAAATTTTTCCAAATTCACGGCCTACTGGGTTGAAACATATTTTACGTATTTGTAAACATTTTTCTAGTTCGTCGATTTTCATATTATTCCTCTATCTTCCAATAAAGGGTTGAAAAGATGTAAAACACATATATTTACAAAATCCACAATATGTTTGATGTTTCATGATTTAGCAATTTGGTTTTTGTTTATGAAATATTTTGATTCTAGTACGACGGGAATGCTAATATTGTATATATAATTATATCATAACATCGTAAATACGAATTTGTATTTTCAGTCTCCGCGTAGAAGTTTGTCGTTTCAAATACTTGTCATTCTAGATGCTGCATCAGCAAGGTATCGTAATGACGCCGGTGCAGAATCAAATTCAAGACGAGCTGCAGCGTAAGCACGAGGAACTGCAGCAACTCATAGTACATCAACAAGAAGAGCTGAGGAGAGTATCAGAACAACTGTTCATAGCTAGATATGGAATTTTGTCGCCATTACTTAATGCAAGTATCATGATAAGTTTGCTGGCAACGAATTTTATATGAATCCTTATATGAATGAAAATATGATACTTAGGAATCGAATTATTAAAATTATTCACGGATAAGAATGTGCAGAAACAAAATTTTAGTCTTGTATCGTGAATTGTATCTGCTGTGTCTTACGCTTTCGTATTGCTCTTGTATCTGCATATTTAAATCATAGAATCCTACCATTTTTGCTATTTTCTTCTCCATGGCTCTGGTTTTTCCACCCATTTCTTTCTGATTTTAATATCAGACAAAAAATCTTAATAAAAACGAAAGTAGTCCTATAAACCCCAATTTTGCATGATTTTTCCCTAGTTATAAAATATCCACATTTTACTGACAAATATTAGAAAAACCACGTGACTACTCTGGCCCCTTGAAAGATAATTTTCTAAATCAAATGTTGTTAACTTATACTGAGGTGCGAATATTGTTTCAGGCGGGTATACCGTACAATACGACGAACGCTTGCCAACAGATGAATCGATGCAACACGAACAACTCGACGAATATACAATTGCCGACGTCGAGTAGCGTGCAAAGTGTAAACGTTCTTCCTCTACCGATCACGGTTCCGGTGCCAATAGTGCCTACGGAGCTGTTCTCGCATCCATTGACAGTCAGCCCGGTACCAACGGTGTCGGCCACGGGGCAAGGAAACGTCGGGACGATGATTCAAACATCCCAGCAATCGCATCAGCAGTTACAACAGCAGCCGACGCAGCAACAACCACAGCAACAGGGACCAACGCAACAAAACGGGAACCCGCAGGATCTCGACCCTTTCCAGATATGCTCGCATCAAGCGGATATGTTGTACAACGATGTAGAGCCAGCCTCGAGTCAACAGCAAAGACCATCGCAGAATTGAAAGTACACGCATCTCGTGTTTGCTTCTGGTATTCCATTTTGAAGTTTTTGTGATCTCGATAACTGATAGAGGATCTTGGTTAGTGAAATGGATATCTAGAGATTAACTGATGCACGTCATCGTAGCTGGAACGATACCATTCCGTGGTTCTGTCAATATTTCGTGTATACATTCTATGTATGTGTGCAGAAACGATGAATATAATCAGATATTTTTATACACATGTGTTGTGAGAAGATATGCCAAACGAAGAGTGCTCATTAATTACACGGTATATTTTGATTTGCAAGAAAAAATAATTTGACTATTGTGTTGCAATAGTTTATACTGGTGCACAGGGTGCTCTTTGAAATAGGGGATGTCACGACTTCGACCGTCTACAGGCCTGTGCAATAAGCATAATTCATTTGGTAGGGACGTTTTTAAGACCTGTCTCGAGGAATGAACGAACAGGCGAATCGCGCACACGAATGCTCTCGTGCGTAGTAAGAAAGTAAAGGAAAGCAAACAAAAGAATGGAGAAAGGACTTGTCTCGTATACTCGAGGGAAATATACGTGTAACAAAACTGTAAAACAGTGAGTTCAAACGGGTATTCGGGGCTTTAAGTACCATTGAAAAGCTAATCGTTACGTTACTGGGTTTATAGCGTGCCATCACGACTTCTTTTGTTAAAAGTGTGAGGGGCAATAATCCCGCTGATTTACTGCAGTTCTTAAATCTCACCCTCTATTATATCCTATGTTTGACAATGAGCTTTGGGATCTTTGCAATTTCGGGCATAGACGCTCCGTAATTATTTCAGAGGCAGTGTCAAAGATGGAACACTTGAGATATGAATCGAATGCCTTCACGCTTCCGAGCGGGATTTTTTCTCGAAAATCAGTATTGCAAATGCTGTATCTCGAAAACTAGTAAAAATCAAATAAATACATTGAAGTATTCATTCACCATAAATAAATTTCGTCATAAATAATCAATCGAACAATCATATGCACATTTATATGCACACATGCATAATTATAAATTATTCTTATCTATTTAATTACATCTATTTGTAGATTATTGCTCAAATAGATCGAAACAAATAACAAATTAATGTTCTTGAAAAGCAAGAAAAATAAGAAACGCTTTTCATATTCATTCGCATTAACTTGAACTTAAATTATTCAAAATATGAAGTTTACTCTCGAAAGTGTGGATGCAAGCGAGTATTCGCGTGCGCAGTTCGGCAATAAAGCTGACGAGCACAAACCAAATTTTGGTTTCATACGCATCCGGTTATAATAATCTATCCCGTAGTCCTTGCGTAGACCTGTAGCCGGCCTTGAAATGTTTGATGCTGTTCTTACAATAGTGAAGCTTTAACGAAACAGAAGGTTTATATTCTTCATATAATTTATTTACGGCAACTCAAATAAAAAATAGGAAACTTTAGACGTATGTGAGGAGAAAGTAAGGAGTTAATGAAATTGTAAAGCTGTATTTATGTAAGTATACAAGAATCTTTTTCTCCGTTACAGACATGAGAAAAAGACAGAATCAGTTACCAAATAATATTTAAAATACCACTGAGAGAGCAAAATACTGAACAAACTGTTCATAAGATTGGTGCCACTATAAATAAAAATAATTCGTGTACAACTCTTTTTTGCACATTTACATAATCCATAATCGAAGCTAAAAACGTTTGTATGGAAAATGAAGAGAAAGACACTCTTACAAATTTTTTAATTAACATTTTAATTTAGAAAAATTAATTTAACTCTTCTTCTATTAACATTCCAATGACATACTGTATATTAGCAGTAATTATAATTCTGTGTCTCAGTAGAAAGTTTTCTGTATTTTAGAATTTCTTTTCATAAAAAATAATTTATCTTGTACTTGTTCATATGTTTATTAGAAACCAGTTTATTATCATTCATTCCAATAGAATCTACTTCGTAATTTCATAATTTTTAAACAAGTGTCCAAATTGCTTTAAACGACTGTGCAGAATACCCGTCCATTTGATATTTAAAGTACGAACCATTTATCTTAAACCACTGCGACCTTCCGCCTCTGTACACACATGACGAACATCATTATTTTTTAAATGCAGCTGATAGAGACGTCGGTGTTTATCGCTTGCAAAAAACTATGTTATCTTCCATAGTATACATGTATAGATCTCCACAGCCGTACGTGAAACTTGTATATAAAATTTGCCTGCTTAATAACAGTGCAGTCGCTGTTTGGGGAGGCAATGAAAAGAGTTAATTATTTAATTGACTCACACGAGTACAAAACGTTTTTCGAATTGTTCAAAATCTTACATTACGCGTTCTAAACAAATATAGCCTAAGAATTTTATTATACATTTTTTTCATTCAATAGTACTTCCATTTGTATAGTAAAATTTAATACTACACAAACGATATTCAGAAAACGTCTTATTAGAACACATTATGTATGTACATGTTAACACTCTTTGGGACCATCGTATTTACGTCTATATTTAGGATAAAAAACCAATTCTTCTAAAAAAATGGAAGAATTAAAGAAGAAACTATTACAATTTGGAAACAGAATTATACAAGGTATATGGGTCACAAATATTTATATGAATGTTTCTTAAATTCGTACCTATAATACTTCCCATATACGATAAGATATTGTACTATGTATTATGTATGTATGTACACTACTACAGATTAAACGTAGACGTATACATTCTTATACATATAATATATATATATATTATATAGTTTCAATAAGACAAGAAAAGTAATATATTTTGTTGTAAATTATCATGAGTATTGTTGATAAGTGACTGTAAACAAAAGATGTGTACATAATTGTAAGTTTAGAGTATATGTGTACTACTCAAGGTAACTTCTCAAATGTTAAAGGTATAGACGAGGACGAGCTAAAAATATTTAGCTACATAGTAAGTATTTCTCTCTCGCAGCATGTTGACTACTGGCTGTGACACTATTCCTGATTTATCGATTTGGAATTTGAAGAAATTCGAAGGAGAAAGGATTCGTGGCCAATCTCGTGCTGCGAGAGGAAGACAACATGTAGATGAATTGTCTTCCTTGTTTTACGACTTTGTCTATAAATCTACACTTTTAATACATTTGGAAACTCTTTGCAGTAGTACATGGTTTCAGATCGTAAATGTGGCATCAAAATCGATATATTTTATGATCGCTGTTAAGTGGATTATTATTATTATTACATATCTATATCGTGAAACAAAAAATCGTATACATTCCAATCGATTAGCCAGATCCTGATGAACGTTCGACCATTGCCCATTACGTCTAAAGACAATAATTTTCGTCATCCAAGATAGTGTAAATTTAACACGTATACACATATCCAATGTACAAATAAAGGTTCCTAAGAACAGCGAAATTATTTCACTTCATTGTTTCATTTTGCTCATAGTAAAATAATCTATTTTAACGATATAAGGTACTTCCGGATGAGATGGAACGGGCAAGTATTTCTTATACGATTCGAAAATTTTCTTCAATAAGAAAATAAGATTACTTTATTGTTTGGGCAAATGTTTATTCCATTCTCAAAACTTAAACTTTTATAACTTAAGCTGAATATCTTCCGGAATCACGCAACCTTTTTCCTTATTCCATCACATTATAAAAAAAACGTAACTTGACGGATTAATTCATAAGACGAGGTGAAAGTAGATTTCACCATCATCAACCTGAAAGATGCAAAAATTACAAATCGCAATTTCAGCTACCATCACAGGTCAATTTTCTCCGAATTACATTAACTCATTTTTATAAAATCGTTTTATTTTAAAAATGATTAAGTAAATATTATTATTTTACACGTCACTATTGAATGGTTTAAAATACATTATATGTATAGGATACAATCATTATATGTTATGTAACACGTTAATGTAACGTTAATTGTAATAGGTTGTAGTAGGTTGAATTGTAAGTATACATATGTCGAAAGTTTATGACTTTAACTTTCTTAAAGCATCCATCAAAATTTGTACTTCCTGGTTCACGTTGTAGACGAGATCCTCGATTTGATGTTTGCTGTCGATTATGTTCATGCTCTGAGTGTATGGGTCGTATCTCACTCCGAACTTCCTGGGAATACTTTCCGCGAATTTACTGAAACAAAATTTATAAACTTATTTATAAGTTGACCATTTTGAATCAAATTAAGCGTGGGATAATTTTATTAGAAATAATTTACACGTCAAGAAAACTTGTAATAAAAATATCGAAATTTTACACGAAATTTTAATCGAAACATTATTTATGACTATGGTTCGAGCAAAATTTTTCTGACTTAAAAAAATTCGAACAATTTTATAAACGTTATTCCTCTGTAAATATCACTTTTCCTAAAAATTTATCGATTATGAAATCCGCATAAGACCAGAGTCGTTCAAACAGCTATGATAATTGAAGGGAGTTTACCATCTTTTTATAATTATTTGAGAAATTCACTGTTTTCATCAGTACGCTTACATCATTTTCTGTTTCGCGTCTTCGAAGTTTTCAGCAACGTAGTAAACAGGCTGATACTCAGTTATCGGATATTTTTGCAACGCCGTTTCCGCTGGCTCAAAAGGCCGCAATTCTGGCTTGTCGGTCAAGCAATATTCAAGTTCACCGAACGAAGAAAGTAATCCGGCTCCGTACGCCTTCAGTTCACCATCTTGCCGGCACATGCCATACTCTACCGTAAACCAAAAACACTGAAACGAATGTTAGAAAATTTATTTATAATATAGAATAAAGCAAAATGTCCAGAACAATTACATTGTTGCTATAACAATGAAAAATAACTATTGAATCTTGAATTACCGTGGCTAATTTTTCAATGTACTCATCGGGAGCACCGAGGGACGCCAAGCCAACGACTTGGCAAAATTGTGCAAACGATGGATCGGCGAATAAAGGCACGTGGCCTAATACTTCGTGGCATACATCTGGTTCGGGTGTGTACAATGGTTTACTACTGTGTCTAATGTACTGGGTGGAATGAAACACTCTAAACGCTAAGCCAGCCAGAAAGTCGCGCGATGAAAGTAGACCAGCCACTGGACGAAGCGTGAAACCAGTGGAATCTACGGAAAAATAGAAAATACGCTGATAATACGCTTAATAGAAAATAATAAATCCTGTGATTTTCTTTTTTATCAACAAATAAATCACTTGATCAGTCCTATAATAAAAATAAATATACTTAATAATCATAATTAGAAATATAAAAAATGGAATAATTATTATTTTAATTTTTATTGCAGAATTATGTTGCCAAGGTCATTAAAATCATCGTATTTTTCGGGGCAAAATTATGTATTTATGTAACTCACATATCGTACTATTAAGATTAGACTTACGTACATTTAGAATATAAAATTAATCGGTTTAAGCTTGACTGAGTGTTAGGGAACCATTCATTAGAATATCTTATCTGTGTTGAAGTGTTATCTCAATTAAGCACGAAAAGAAATAGAATTCACGCATAGAGATATACTTATAAGAACACAGATTTGTGTGAAAATAAATTAAACTCTCCAAATGTTCAATAGCTAATTTTAGACTGTTGTAAATTACTAATAACCTTTTAGGAAGTTTGATATATCCTCCAGTTGTGGAATATTATCTTCTCTGTAGCCGCAATTCTCGATGAGCAATGGGAATACGTGATTATGTTCCTTACAGGCATATTTCGGATAGAGTTTAGTTAGATTCCTGAAGACCTCACCCCATGTCGCGATCTCTTCTTCAGTATACTCGACCCTCGGTATCGGCTGGCCACTGAAATATATTTATAATAATACAAAGTTCTCTTAAAAAAAGCAAAATAGAACAAATGGAAACTACATACGTTTTACTATTATTTAGCAATTCGAAATTTTGCAATAGTCTAAAGTGCAACTCACTGTTTATAATGAAACGCCAAGTCAGCAAAATACTTCCGTCTTTGTCTGTAAACAGGGTCCGTGAAACCGGGATGATCGCTATCTAATTCTGAACCATAAGAGAGAATTTGATTGGCGAATTTGTCCAGATCCCGAATCCTTCTTGGGAACCATGGAACAGTTCCCAAATTATCCTTGTGATTTCTGAAAATGTAAATAAACGTAATTATAAAATATCTGTCTATGAAAATAAAAATGAAATTGACACAGAATTGTAAATCACGAATTCTGCAGTTTTACAACAAATTAAATTATTTATTTATTTACCTAGAAATGACTGATAAATAGCTACATTGCCCTCGCAATTTTTCAATTACTGTACCCAAATTCCCGCCGGGTGCACATTCCACCATAAATTCGTATACGTCCGTTTGACGATGGGAACTTCTAGATTCGATATGTAATAAATTGACTTCATGTTCCTAGAAACGAAATCGAAGACGCGTGAATTACGAGAATATTGAAATACGAGATTTGATCGAAATTGGCAAACAGAATTTATTGTTTGCTTACAGAAAAATATTTAAGATAGGTGCTTAATGTCCCGACAGTATCCCGTTCCTTAGGTGAAAAGATTAGACACGTGCTCTTTGCCGAGTCCTTGGCTTCTTTGATATAGTTCCCACCAACCATAAGTGTGGGCTATGGAAAATAAAAAAGTTAGAAACAACTTCTATATTGTTGCATGAGAACGAGAAAGTCACTATAATATTTTACACACTATTCTATAATTTTTATCTTGCATAACTCTTATTAGTCGTTTGTAATTTTTTCACTACTTTCTATATTTGGCATTAACATCTTATTACTGTAATAAACTTGATAAATGTTTCTTTAGATTATCACTCAATTCTCACATCGAGCATTGTTGATGAGTAATTTTGGCGCGCAGGTGAACGATGAAAAATGAACTTCGCGTCAAGTACAGTAGCCGTCTTATTCCTCTGGACAGGTTTTCAGAAACTACGCTACGTTCGTTCCTCACCATACTTTATAGAGTTACGATCGATCCCCCCTTTTTATCAAATAATCATTGCTCTTTATTGTTTTATTAAGGTTCCACAACAAATCGAAAAATTTTTTGATAAGAAAATTTTTAAATTATAGATGATTAATAGTTTTTATGGCAAACTAATATATTATAATTATATTGAATATAGAACATTGTCTCTTAAAAATTGTTTGATGAAACAGACTAGCTATATTTCGTCAGCATGTGTCTGTTTTTGCATTATACCAATCGCCGCAGATAATATGAAATTTCAAGGTCGACTTCATCAAGACGAAACGATTTTTTGTTAAACTTGAGATGAATGCAAACTGGCATTCTTGATTTTTCGTTTGTTCTGCGAATTGAACAAATCATAGCTCTATTTCTACAGAGGTGTTCAATGCAAATCGATGATCAGTGCACGAACAAGCTTCTCTTATAACATTGACACGCATTACAAAATTGTTTTCCTTAAATGTTAAAAGTTATTTAACTATGTTGTCAAGAATAAAATTAGAAGCTAACAATATCAGCTTTTGTCATTGGTATAAAATCGTCACAAAGTTAAATGTACCATAACACGACTAACACATATTACAAAATTGTTTTTCTTAAACGTTAAAAATCATTTACTTGTGTTCACAATAATTACACGAATTATTTCAAACGAACATCTATTGTAATTAAATATTTAATAGCTCATTATTTTATCTATTTTCTTTACCATAATTGTTTGTTATTATCTATTAAGTTTCTAGTAGTAACTCAGTATTTAGTATTTATTTCGATTCGACCAATTAATTGGAAGATAACATGAAAATTTTTGTGTATACTGACGTGGCATAATGATAATATTTCCTTGGTTGATATGCGTAAGTCTAATCACGTAATCTAATACGAAAGAGATTGCACAATTACGTTGTATTAAGTGTCGTAACAAATAAGACTGCAAAATAGTAAAAGATTACTTTTGCTTAGAAATGCATAATACTGCAATGCGGAATTGATTTTCGTAAACATTCACGTATTTCCATTAAGATGATATATAATTTGTTTACTGATTAGTGCGTTACGCAATAAACAATTTTCTGTACACTCATGAAACCATTTAACGTAATTCTGTTCTACATCAATTGCATTGATGAAAATAATGTATATAGCCAATCTTTTATTATGATTTAATAACAAACTATAAAGTTTCTTCTGTACGTACATACATCAGTTATATGACATTTAAAAAGAATATATTGAATATAGAACATTGTCTCTTAAAAATTGTTTGATGAAACAGACTAGCTATATTTCGTCAGCATGTGTCTGTTTTTGCATTATACCAATCGCCGCAGATAATATGAAATTTCAAGGTCGACTTCATCAAGACGAAACGATTTTTTGTTAAACTTGAGATGAATGCAAACTGGCATTCTTGATTTTTCGTTTGTTCTGCGAATTGAACAAATCATAGCTCTATTTCTACAGAGGTGTTCAATGCAAATCGATGATCAGTGCACGAACAAGCTTCTCTTATAACATTGACACGCATTACAAAATTGTTTTCCTTAAATGTTAAAAGTTATTTAACTATGTTGTCAAGAATAAAATTAGAAGCTAACAATATCAGCTTTTGTCATTGGTATAAAATCGTCACAAAGTTAAATGTACCATAACACGACTAACACATATTACAAAATTGTTTTTCTTAAACGTTAAAAATCATTTACTTGTGTTCACAATAATTACACGAATTATTTCAAACGAACATCTATTGTAATTAAATATTTAATAGCTCATTATTTTATCTATTTTCTTTACCATAATTGTTTGTTATTATCTATTAAGTTTCTAGTAGTAACTCAGTATTTAGTATTTATTTCGATTCGACCAATTAATTGGAAGATAACATGAAAATTTTTGTGTATACTGACGTGGCATAATGATAATATTTCCTTGGTTGATATGCGTAAGTCTAATCACGTAATCTAATACGAAAGAGATTGCACAATTACGTTGTATTAAGTGTCGTAACAAATAAGACTGCAAAATAGTAAAAGATTACTTTTGCTTAGAAATGCATAATACTGCAATGCGGAATTGATTTTCGTAAACATTCACGTATTTCCATTAAGATGATATATAATTTGTTTACTGATTAGTGCGTTACGCAATAAACAATTTTCTGTACACTCATGAAACCATTTAACGTAATTCTGTTCTACATCAATTGCATTGATGAAAATAATGTATATAGCCAATCTTTTATTATGATTTAATAACAAACTATAAAGTTTCTTCTGTACGTACATACATCAGTTATATGACATTTAAAAAGATGTGTTACTGCTTTCCTTTCACTGCTATAGGAACAGGTTTCCTTCATCAATACCAATAAATATAATTCAGAACGAGATTTCTATCACTTCGAATTCAAACATGCACGTACAATAACTTGTGATACAATTTCTTTCTTAATTACATGTCAATGTCTTCAGTAATTGGCAATTAGCAGATTTAAAAAATATATCTGCGTGTGTGAAATCAGTAAACAAAGATAATTACATTTTTATCCAGAAGCTTGAATAGATAAACAATAATACACGCGTATATATACGTGGCTTGCAAGGAGAAGCATCAGTATAGACATTTATAAAATTGAGATATAGATATTAACACATAAAGATGTGTTCAAGTAATTCTGCAGCAAAAATTAAAATTTATTTTTTGATTCATGAAGTGAAATTTATGTTAGTGCTTTTGCAAATACTGAAACATTACATTAATTAATTACTTTTATAAATAATTTGGACATTATACATACAAATACTGTTATAGACATTTCTAGACAGAATTTGGAATCGTAATTTTTTATACTATAGTATATATAACTGTTTACGAATTCAATACTGGCTTCAACTTATTTTTACAACAATATGTCATTGGTACTTGTTGCACAAAACGACATTAATTATTTTCCTAAAGTGTATCCAATGTCCAAACAAATGAGAATTTCAATTCTACTATTTACAAAAGATGAGGAAGGAGATTGCTTATGAGTCTGTTTTATCCGAGCCGATTTTTGACTGTTTTGGCAAAATTTCGAACTCTCGTACATACTTTGTGATCAACGTAATGCGCATATCTTTCTCTCGTTACCATTACTCAACGAAATATCTTACGGTTCGGACTTTCACCATTAAAGACAGTAGCTTATGACAATTGAAAATCAGCTCGTATAAGACGGGCTCATGAGCAATCTCTCTCCTCACTTCTGCTAATTACGATACTAAAAGTCTCATTCCAAAAGAATCATGGCTACTCTTTTAACAAATATCTTTCTCCATATTTTTTCACTTCACATTTTGATGACGTCAAATATCACAAAGAAAATTCAGCTAATACACGCGATTATAACGATCATAATATGTTATCTTTTAAATAATTTGTTTACGTCGCTCAATGTATAAGTTCCTATTTACTTCATAATGAATGACATGGAAACTTTTGCATTTTCCACGTAAACTATCACTTTTTTATATAAATTTTCCTTACCGTATCATGGAATGAATTATTCTCAGTCGACAGATTTGCTTCGGTTTTCAACATGCTTTTCGCGTACATTTCGCAATGTCGTCGAGGGAGCTGCGCAAAGAGTTGAACTGACCTAAATGGAACTGTCACGATTTTCTCGAAGCAAGCTGCTTAACAGGACTGGTTCTTATCATGTCACGCCGGCTAGTTTTAATAAGATGCCGTCACAAGTTTTAAAAAAACATTTCTGATTGCGGACGTCCGAAAGAATTGTGTCCAATGAATCGAAAACAACATTAACATATTAAATTCTAATAATTTCTTGCATAGGAATTAAAAATTATTTCATCGTGTAGGATTAAACGCATGTGATACGAGTATTCTATACAGAAGCACTCGTTGACATAATGTGATTGTTGTTTATTGCAAAATTGTCAGTTACTAGTTTTATCAGACGAATTTAGAAAATCTTTTAGAACCAGTAGATATCTTCTTTTCTCGTAATTTCATTTATTATTAAGACATTGTAAAATACATATAATAAGCAATTTTCTTTTGTTTTTGGCAATGAATATTACATACAACGAAGATACAATAGACAACATCCTTTATTTGCAATACTATCGACAAATATAGATATTCAGAGTCGTTGCTTATTCTTAAGATCGTTTTAATCATTTGCTATCCCTGTCTATCCCATATTTCCAGTCCCTGTTTTGTACAAGAAACAGGAATTTAAACAAATGTTTAAGGCGATCTTAAATATAAGTAACGACTCTGAATACTGGCCATAAAGTGTTTGGCTGTTTGAAAAACTTTAAGGAGTAATTTTAGAAGCCAAGGTAAGACAAAAGTGAATAAACAAATTGTACTCAAAATCCATGTTTTAGTTATAAACGATTAAAAATTGCACCTGATGGTAGGCAAACCTGCCTACAGTCTGTGGCTCTCAGGAGTCCGAACAGATGTCCAATGGCTAATAGCTACCCAAGCTATAACATACCCAACGTAACAAAAATCGTTATAAAATATATTAGCACTTAGATTTTTAAACATACATAAGTTGTATCTAAGAATCAATAACCAGAGCCAATTTTTAATAGCTCATAATTGCACACAATTATTTTACTCTTGATTTTCGTTTTATTTTGGTTCCCATAATCAGCTTTCAAAATTTCTTGCACCGGGCCTAAACACGTATATAAAAACATGCCACTTCAGTAAATAATACCAATTAAAAATGAAACATGGAAACTACCCAAAATCTTTTCCAAGCTTCCAAACTCGTTTTTAATGCAATCGCAACGTAGCTGAACTCTGGCGACTGTTTACTATACGCGAACGTCCAAATATCTAACATGATTGGACTTAAAAAACGGGCTGTTATCAGCGATTGACCCTTAAGCTTGCTTTCTCGCGATAGGCCACGCGAAGACGTTCGAATGTTATTAACGTCGTTGCCGCAACAAGTTCGAAACGTTAGTAATTGGCACGCATACAATAAACTGTTGATAATGTGCGTGATCTTTACTCCGCAAAACGAAAAGAGCGTACAAAATGGTTGGCTGGGCTAGTGGAAAGCCACGATAGTACGGGAGTTGCTAGGCGATTGTAGGAATTTTTCGTTAAAAAAAATGATTAAGTGAATTGAAGCATCAGAGTAGAAGGGTACCAGGAAAATGAGATTAAAACGTGTACATCCAATTGGTACTCTAGAGATGTAGCAATGCCTTACAACTCGGTGAGTATTTTCCTAACTATTATTTACACCGTCCGTTTCGTCCACGTCAACTCTTTCGCGATTCTCTTCTCTTAATTAATACTTTTTCGAGGAACTCCTGCTGATGTGAGAAAATTATATAATCCTATTGATAAATTTACGTTGCAGATACGAGTAGAACAGAACCGTGATCGATCTTACATGGATTCCACTCCTCTAGTTGCAAAAACGAACCGATTCGAAACTTATATCGACGCGCCATTAACAGACGCGACAGAAAGATTGCACGGGAGTAATAACATTCAATATTTACGATCACCTTACGGCTGGAAGAAACGAGTAGGGGAAGATGGCTCTCGACTTTTTCGCTGGATGTCTCGGGGGTGAGTAATTAATACGTTGAATAATAATTTCTTTTTAATGAAGCTTATCCATTTCTTGTTAAAATGATTGACATAGTATAGTCGAGCAAAAAGAAGAGAGACACGTACTCTATCTTCTTTTTATCGCAGTGATTACGCATAAACTGCTATGGCTAGAACATTGCTTACAAAAATGATGCCGATGATCTTTCAGTTCTTTACTTAAATTATGGCCGACGGGCCATCATCAATTTATTATATTAGATTCTACTAATTTCTTACATAGGAATTAAAAATTATTTCACCGTCATTTATGATCGTTTAAAAAAAAATATGTCGCCCAAGTAAATTATGTATAACAGGAAAAATTATGGATTATTCATTAATTAATAATCGAAAGAGTTATTTTAAATAAAGAATAAAATTCGTTAAACGTTTACTTTAGGATGCGCCGGTATTATGGTGGGATATCCTCTGGACACTATCAAAGTTCACATGCAAACGCAAGATTACCGCAACCCAAAGTACAAGGGCAACTGGCACTGCTTTCGAACGTTGCTTGCCAAGGAATCGGTACTTGTACAAACCAAGAAAATAACGATCGAAAAACAGTATTGATCAAAGATATACATTGTTTACCGAATGATCGCGAGAGCAAAAGTAATTGATCTGTGTTAATTTGGAACAATTGCCTTCACACCTAAATAAAAGTGGAGACAAAAGGCAGTAACGATAATACAAAATAATTATAAAGAAAGTTTGTTACATTTTTCATTTGCGATATTCACTACGTGATTCTTATAATTCTTCATGCAAAAATCGACTCCAGAAGCAAATATTGTATCACGTACCGTTTCCGAAAAATAGTATTTTTTGTAAGGTTGCATGATTTTGAAGAAGAGGTTGTTTTTGGCAATGATGATCATGACAAACTCTATAAGGCTCACATACTAGATATTGCAAAAAAGAAAACATTTTTTTTTGTTGAATTGTAGACATAATTTTTTCTAAGACTCGAACCAAAGTGTAATAATTAATTACGGTAATTAAATTTAAATGAGCATCGTTCATTTTCTCAGGTAGGAGGTCTTTACCGAGGAATGTCATCTCCGGTGGCTGGGGTGGCGGTCGTGAATGCAATTATCTTTGGTGTCTACGGGGAGACCCAAAGGCGCACGACCGATCCTGCCTGTTTGTCCTCACACTTCATCGCCGGGTCCTTAGCCGGGATCGCTCAAAGTCCCATCTGCAGTCCGATCGAGCTGGCGAAAACGAGAATGCAACTACAAACGTCCACCACGCAATTCTCAGGACCCGTTGAGTGTCTCCAACACACCTACAAACACGAAGGATACCGCGGCGTGTTCAAGGGTCTCGGTGTTACGTTGCTCAGAGAAGCGCCAAGCTTCGGTGTCTACTTCCTCACGTACGAAGCGTTGACTAGAGCGTCAGAGAACAAGCCCGTCTCAACCCTGTGCATGCTCTTAGCTGGAGGACTAGCTGGCACCGCCTCCTGGGTCATCTCATACCCGCTGGACGTGATAAAATCTCGGATTCAAGCCGGTGGCAATCGGTACAGCGGAGTAATTGATTGTTTAAAGCAGTCGGTGCACACAGAAGGATACTCCTGCTTGTATAGAGGCCTGAGCTCGACGATCATTCGAGCGTTTCCGACGAATGCCGTCACCTTCACCGTAGTCACGTGGACGTTCAGATTGTTAGGCCAGGAAGACGTCACACCTTTTCAGGAGAAATCGAACGTGGTGGAATCCATCAGGGAGATTTCGGAGGTATGTGGAGGTGGTTCCTTGAAAGGTGGAACAGTTTTTTGACAAGCGCATCCAGAGGCATGGTCATTCATAGGTTGCACTGTTCCGCATTCGTGTCGACGATACCGACAAACGTGTCGAAGCTTGAGTGTCCCGAAGGTGATAAGTGGACGGCAAGGAGGATCGAGTACTGCGAGCAAACACGGGACGATAAATACGCCAGACCGGAAGCCGAGAGCTCGAGAGTGTCGAGCGACGATGTTGAAGAGGATAATAGTGAGGACAAGATGGAGAGGGCTGTTTTTAAATAGACGGTCTCTGTCAGTTATTTTGAAAAATAAGATAATTGGCGGACACTAATAAACTGCCCGATTATAAAATATTTAATACAAATACCTATTCTTTTAGTGCTTGGTTAGTAGTAGTGGATTAATCGAATGTTCCTGTGTTAAATTAACCGTTAATTCCGTAGGATAGCAAAACTATTTTTTGTTTTTTATTTTATATTTCTTTTTATAGTAAATTCGATCGATTAACCACGAAGCAATATTAACGATTTCAACCGTCGGAGGTACATAATCAATTAACTCATTAACTGTCATGAATCTTGCCGTCGATGTACTCATTTGTTAGAAGACAGTCCTAGACTGAACGGCGGACATGTAAGACCTATGTCACAGCCAGAGGCGACATTTACTCTCTTTTAAAATCACACAAAATAGTTTGTACCTGTCTGCCACCCATCTCCTCCGCACCACTCCGCATTGATTCTGTACATTTTTAAATCTCCATCGTACAATCTCCGGTCTTCAAGTCTGTCCGTCCACGTGTCAAAAATACTTTTCTTTTGACACACACTAAATTGCAACGCGTATAAGTTAATCATCAAGACACAAGCTTCCTCGACTTCGACCACGCGAGTCGTTTACACCGAGTCGGTCGAATAGAATCGATAGTGCAACAAGGACCGTATTTTGAAAATTAAAAATCCGCGAAGCCTCGTCGTCAAATTAATCGAAAGCATTGACAAGCGCGGGAAACTCTAACCTCTTGGACGATTTGAAAATTAACTGAAGTCGCAAGTGTACTCTATTCTAAAGGTAAAACTTTGATATCAGCTTAATCGGTAGCAGCAAACACAGTGATAAACGCGAATGTTCGATTATATTGAAACTTAATTCACGATCCAAACGTTATTACTTTTGTTACGTTCAGTTTCGTAAGTAATTGCATATATGAAGATGATACGTACCTGCAGTTAATTAGTAGACTGCGGATTGTTATGAAAAATAAAACATTTTTAATGTTATTTTAAAAAAATAAATCTAAATCTTAATCTAATCTTAAATCTAATCTTCACAATTAATGGTGTGTATTATACTATTTTGCACGTTGTAGCTTTTATATTTTCTGAACATCTACTTTCTCTCTAAATGAATAAAATCCGCAGTCTATTAATAATTAGGCACTTATGTTAAGCGTTATCCGATGTTTATAGATAACTTTCTCTCTAATGAAATCTTCTAAGCTATTACTTATTTTTTTATATACAAACGTAAGACAATGTATAAATTTATACAAAATCAATTAATCAATTAGAAAGTAACTGTTGATTATTAAAAGTAAAGTATGTGAATAGAAAATTTTCAAGTGTCGCGCAATTGACGAAACTGGACAACGGGTTTCTTCACCATCGTCGTTGCGGAAGAGATTCGTGCCCAGGTTTGGAGGAAGTTTGATATGGATGTGGACTTAAACAATAATAGCAACGATAACGACTTATGCGAGACGAACACTCAGCGCTTGATTGCCGAAAGCGGTGGACGATGTATGAGCACTCAAGCGATGCAATCGCTTTATGACTTTCGACAGAATAATCTACTTTGCGATGCCGTTTTGAGACTCGAAGATGGAGGCGTTTTCCCGATTCACCGAGCCATTTTATCCGCTTGCAGCCCGTATTTCAGGTTTGTATCACTAACCCTCAACGTACACGTCTATCTGCAAATACACAACGTGTAGGATGAGCCTCGTAACATGACGACTTCGAATAACTCATAAGATATTTATTTTATAATAATATTATATAGTAAAATATAATGATACAATAAATATTGTCCAATAAACGAGTTACGATTACGAGTTATTTCTGTTGCGAGACCCACCCTGTACATGGGGCCTTATGAACCTCACACAAATCAAAATGATTATAGAATTCAAATAATTAAAATTGAAAGATTTAAAAAATATCTTAAACATAAGAATTCCATGAAAATCGACTTATTTTACTAAAAAATTCACAACTTCTAAATTTTTAATATCTTTCATTCACATTTTTTTCGAAGATTTCCGGAGATATTTTACTTTTAACAAAGAAATAATTTCGCTTGAAGCATTGAAAAAAAGATATTTAAATTGAAGTGAGAAAGATCGAGACATGATGATAATTCGAAATCTTTTTCATAACGTGGTTATCGAAAAATTGTATTTGGGGTCCGCTAGGTCCTTAATGTACGTTGAGGGTTAAAGTACATTCTTGTAGAGAGAGAGAGAGAGAGAGCATATTAACATATAATTTAAATAGAATAATATTTCATAGAAAAAAGTTTCCCAATCAATCTAATATGTTCTTCGAGCGTGGATATTATTCATCCTTTGTAGAACTTTGTTCACGACTACGTTGCACTCGCGCGAGAAAACGGATGTCCTTTTACCGGGCGTCAGCAGTAACATGATGAATCTGCTCCTCGAGTACGCATACCTGCGATCGATCAACGTAAACAACGAGAACGTCTGTCAGCTGATGGTCACCGCAGATTATCTGAACATCCTAGGCGTCTTCGATTTCTGCTGCGAGTACCTGAAGCAAAATCTAGCGCCGGAGAACTGCATCAGCGTTATGCGATTCGCTCAGGAATACTTTTGGAAGGAACTGGAGAACAGCGCGTTTCGTTACGTAATGAAAAATTTCGTACAGGTCATTGCTCTCCTCAACGTAATTACATAATACATCGATAATGGATTTAAACGGTTAAAGTTACTAGGTACAAGTAGGCAGAAGTATTAACAAGAGATTTATGTATTCACTTATAAAGTCTCGCAATAATTAAATAAAAATATTAATATTTTATTGTTTTTCACCTTCCCACTCTTTCCTAATAATTCATCTCAATGATACAAATAGTGAATAATGTAAAAAACAGTTTTATTCATGATGCTATTCGACGTAGGTTGCACAACGAAGCGAGGAAATTCTTAACTGGTCAATAGAAGAGCTGACCACGCTGATCGGTGCAGATGAGTTGAACGTTAAGAGCGAGGACACCGTTTGGGAACTGGTATTGAAGTGGATCGATTACGATCCCGAATTGCGGAAAGAGTACATAGTCGACTTGATGAAGAACATCCGCCTCGGCCTGTTGGACACACAGTTCTTCCTGGAAAATGTTAAGGATCACCCGTACGTTACTGGAAACGACGCTTGCCGGCCAATCATCATTGAAACGTTAAAATTCTTGTACGACCTGGAAATTATTACGCAAAAGGACGGAGAGGTACCGACGCCGAAAATAGCCCGACCAAGGGTTCCCCACGAGATACTGTTCGCTATAGGTGGATGGAGTGGCAGAAGTCCTACAAATTTTATAGAAACCTACGACACTAGAGCGGATCGATGGGTCAAGGTGAACACTCCAGTTCTTTGTACACATTTAGGATCGATTTTTTTATCACTTCTAAATAAAATAAATAAATCCTTATTAGCTTCATTGCACCAAAATGTCTCCATGTATCCCTTAATTATATTTTATTTTTTATTAGTACTTAGTTATTTGTAAGGAAAGAGTTTTGAACATTATTTATATCCTGTATCCTTATATTCTATATTACTTTTATTTTACTTCTCATCATTAAGAATTGCTGATCTTCCAATTTTGAAAGGTGGAAGAAGTTGATCCGGTCGGACCTCGCGCTTATCACGGGACTGTGGTGGTCGGCTTTAATATTTACGTGATCGGTGGCTTCGACGGTACAGATTATTTTAACAGTTGTCGTTGCTTCAACGCTGTTACTAAGGTTTGGAGAGAAGTTGCTCCAATGAATGCCAGAAGGTTAAAGAATAAAAATTAAACTTTTTATCAACATAATTCTCTCAGACGTCTCATACAAACGATGCTTAAATACTTCATTCGCACACCTGTTTTTCACAATTTTTTTTCCTTCCATTACAGATTCTATGTTTACTTTATGTCTTAAGCGCCCTAATTACGATCGAGTTGTTTTCAAACTTAGGTGTTACGTTAGCGTTGCCGTGCTAAACGATCTAATTTACGCGATGGGGGGATACGACGGATATTATCGGCAAAGCACCGCTGAACGGTATAATTATAAGACGAACCAATGGTCTCTGATAGCACCCATGAATTGTCAAAGATCGGACGCCAGCGCGACCACCTTACATGGTACCATTTCCTTTTTAATACGAAAGAAAACTCGTCATAGGTAATGCTTACTCAGACCACAATGCTCCTCTGTACTGCAGACAAAATTTACATTACCGGTGGATTCAATGGTCACGAATGCTTAAATTCAGCTGAGGTGTACGATCCGGAAACCAATCAGTGGACGATGATAGCCCCGATGAGGTCGCGTAGGAGCGGCGTTTGCTGCATAGCTTATCACAACCACGTATACGTTATTGGTAATTACAGTTGAATCAACAGTTGAACGAGAAAATAAATAAAGTAGACTCCCTTCTCGATTCTTCCTACTTTAATAATAAAACACAGGAATTATCTAATTTAACAATTAAGGGACTAGGATAGTAATATGACTTTTATAACATTTGTGAATAAATTTTTGACGTTTTTTGTTGTTTTACTCGTAAGAGGCAAAAATAATGCAACATATGGGTTTACATTCGATCTTATATCTTTATTTCTAAGAGAATCGAGACGAAATTGATTCAGTTCAGTTTAAGGTATAGAGCGGTCTGGTCTTTATTTTATTCAGTCTCTCTTTGATAATATTGCTTAAAATTCAAAGTAAATGCACCTTTCGCACGTGTTAAGAAAATGCGTTACTTCCGTACAAATATGTACGTTGAATTATCAGAGAATAGAAAAAAGTTTCCCAATCAATCTAATATGTTCTTCGAGCGTGGATATTATTCATCCTTTGTAGAACTTTGTTCACGACTACGTTGCACTCGCGCGAGAAAACGGATGTCCTTTTACCGGGCGTCAGCAGTAACATGATGAATCTGCTCCTCGAGTACGCATACCTGCGATCGATCAACGTAAACAACGAGAACGTCTGTCAGCTGATGGTCACCGCAGATTATCTGAACATCCTAGGCGTCTTCGATTTCTGCTGCGAGTACCTGAAGCAAAATCTAGCGCCGGAGAACTGCATCAGCGTTATGCGATTCGCTCAGGAATACTTTTGGAAGGAACTGGAGAACAGCGCGTTTCGTTACGTAATGAAAAATTTCGTACAGGTCATTGCTCTCCTCAACGTAATTACATAATACATCGATAATGGATTTAAACGGTTAAAGTTACTAGGTACAAGTAGGCAGAAGTATTAACAAGAGATTTATGTATTCACTTATAAAGTCTCGCAATAATTAAATAAAAATATTAATATTTTATTGTTTTTCACCTTCCCACTCTTTCCTAATAATTCATCTCAATGATACAAATAGTGAATAATGTAAAAAACAGTTTTATTCATGATGCTATTCGACGTAGGTTGCACAACGAAGCGAGGAAATTCTTAACTGGTCAATAGAAGAGCTGACCACGCTGATCGGTGCAGATGAGTTGAACGTTAAGAGCGAGGACACCGTTTGGGAACTGGTATTGAAGTGGATCGATTACGATCCCGAATTGCGGAAAGAGTACATAGTCGACTTGATGAAGAACATCCGCCTCGGCCTGTTGGACACACAGTTCTTCCTGGAAAATGTTAAGGATCACCCGTACGTTACTGGAAACGACGCTTGCCGGCCAATCATCATTGAAACGTTAAAATTCTTGTACGACCTGGAAATTATTACGCAAAAGGACGGAGAGGTACCGACGCCGAAAATAGCCCGACCAAGGGTTCCCCACGAGATACTGTTCGCTATAGGTGGATGGAGTGGCAGAAGTCCTACAAATTTTATAGAAACCTACGACACTAGAGCGGATCGATGGGTCAAGGTGAACACTCCAGTTCGTTGTACACATTTAGGATCGATTTTTTTATCACTTCTAAATAAAATAAATAAATCCTTATTAGCTTCATTGCACCAAAATGTCTCCATGTATCCCTTAATTATATTTTATTTTTTATTAGTACTTAGTTATTTGTAAGGAAAGAGTTTTGAACATTATTTATATCCTGTATCCTTATATTCTATATTACTTTTATTTTACTTCTCATCATTAAGAATTGCTGATCTTCCAATTTTGAAAGGTGGAAGAAGTTGATCCGGTCGGACCTCGCGCTTATCACGGGACTGTGGTGGTCGGCTTTAATATTTACGTGATCGGTGGCTTCGACGGTACAGATTATTTTAACAGTTGTCGTTGCTTCAACGCTGTTACTAAGGTTTGGAGAGAAGTTGCTCCAATGAATGCCAGAAGGTTAAAGAATAAAAATTAAACTTTTTATCAACATAATTCTCTCAGACGTCTCATACAAACGATGCTTAAATACTTCATTCGCACACCTGTTTTTCACAATTTTTTTTCCTTCCATTACAGATTCTATGTTTACTTTATGTCTTAAGCGCCCTAATTACGATCGAGTTGTTTTCAAACTTAGGTGTTACGTTAGCGTTGCCGTGCTAAACGATCTAATTTACGCGATGGGGGGATACGACGGATATTATCGGCAAAGCACCGCTGAACGGTATAATTATAAGACGAACCAATGGTCTCTGATAGCACCCATGAATTGTCAAAGATCGGACGCCAGCGCGACCACCTTACATGGTACCATTTCCTTTTTAATACGAAAGAAAACTCGTCATAGGTAATGCTTACTCAGACCACAATGCTCCTCTGTACTGCAGACAAAATTTACATTACCGGTGGATTCAATGGTCACGAATGCTTAAATTCAGCTGAGGAGTACGATCCGGAAACCAATCAGTGGACGATGATAGCCCCGATGAGGTCGCGTAGGAGCGGCGTTTGCTGCATAGCTTATCACAACCACGTATACGTTATTGGTAATTACAGTTGAATCAACAGTTGAACGAGAAAATAAATAAAGTAGACTCCCTTCTCGATTCTTCCTACTTTAATAATAAAACACAGGAATTATCCAATTTAACAATTAAGGGACTAGGATAGTAATATGACTTTTATAACATTTGTGAATAAATTTTTGACGTTTTTTGTTGTTTTACTCGTAAGAGGCAAAAATAATGCAACATATGGGTTTACATTCGATCTTATATCTTTATTTCTAAGAGAATCGAGACGAAATTGATTCAGTTCAGTTTAAGGTATAGAGCGGTCTGGTCTTTATTTTATTCAGTCTCTCTTTGATAATATTGCTTAAAATTCAAAGTAAATGCACCTTTCGCACGTGTTAAGAAAATGCGTTACTTCCGTACAAATATGTACGTTGAATTATCAGAGAGTTTTAGATATTAAATAGATGAAATCGTCCTCCCCTTTATCTTTGCGCCTTCTCACATAAATCCACAGATTTCTTTCACAATATAAGTTTATCATATGTTTTTCTCAGTACCCATGCATCATATCAATGTTTCTTTAATAGGAGGTTTCAATGGGATATCGAGAATGAACATTGAATCGTCAGACAGTTTTAGATATTAAATAGGTCGATTTATTTTCCCCTTTATCTTCGTCTTTTCTCATCCGTGTAGTGGAGAAATCCACGTATTTGTTCCACAATATAATTTATCATGTTTTTCTTTAATTTATCAATGCCCATGTATCATATCAATGTTTCTTTAATAGGAGGTTTCAATGGAATATCGAGAATGTGCAGCGGCGAAAAATACAATCCCGCGACCGACGTATGGACCCCAATACCGGATATGTACAATTCGCGTAGCAATTTCGCGATCGAAGTAATCGACGACATGATTTTTGCAATCGGCGGATTCAACGGTGTTACCACGATCTATCACGTGGAATGTTACGACGAGAAAACGAACGAATGGTAATTTTTCAGAATCAGCAATTAAAAAAAATCTACGAAATATCTAAATCCAGCGGTCCGTTCGACTCGTTTAATAGGTACGAAGCAACGGACATGAATGTGTATCGTTCCGCGCTGTCAGCCTGCGTGATTATGGGTTTGCCGAATGTAAATGACTATATCCACAAGCACCGGGAACGTTTGATGGAAGAGAAACGGCAGAAGCTATTGGCACTGGAGTCGCACCGCAGTCAGCAACATCAACTGGACCAAATGCAGCAGAACAGTGAGAACTCGATGAACAATAACGAAATACCTCCGCCACCTCCGATGCCGCCGAGTAGCAACAGCAACTCTAGCAACGAGAGTCAACAAAATTGACGACGACAGTATTACGATAAAAATGACGTCGAGACTATAGGTTTTACGTCAACCGAACGAACAGCAGAGCAATAGAACAGTGAATGTTCAAAGCGATTAATCAATCTACGGTTATGCTGGAAGAAAATATTAGCACAATTAGACGACGCGCGTGTCGACAGAGATAATTTTTACACGCATTTAATGTTCCGCTGTCATGGGGATAATCGCAGCTCCAGCTTCGATTCGACGTCTGTAATGTTTTTTAACGAAACTCTAAATTACTTGTGCATTCGGTTAAAAATGTGGCGACAGTCAAACTTGTAATCTTAAATCATGTTCCATTGCAAGAAATCGAGGTATGTATGATCGCCATGAGATTAGGTGATTTCATTTGGATTTTGGAACAATTTTCTTTCATCATAACCGTAGCTCGTTTCTCGAATTTCGAGCAGCAACAATTGTCAATGATTGAAGAATGGAAAACTGACGATACAAACATTCGTGTAGAGTCGGGAAATAATATCCTTTAGTTAACAGTGAAGGAGAGAAACATTTGGTATCGATGCGACAACGTTGCATTGTTAGATGGGATAATATTTTCGGACTCATTTTTACCTGAATTTGTTAAACGAAATATGTTTTATTTTTTATACGAGGCATGTTTCTATTGACTGTTTTTGTGATATAATTTTGTACGAAGTTTATTGAACGATTTTACATATCATAAACGAGTTTTGAAAGAGAACAACGAGGGAACAATTTTTGAAACAAAACGTATTACGCTTATGACTGCTATTGACAAAAAACTATTGAAATGGCAACTACTAACAACCAATAAAAGAATATCATAAATATGGTGCTTTATTTTATAAACGCGTGTTCCGTAGTAAAGGAGAAATACTGTTATGTTTAGTACTAAGCGAAGAACTGGGATCTGTCATTCGGTCAAGTATCGCGAAATATAAATGCCAACATTCGTTTCCATTAGTTTATTAATAAGAACTATTCATTTTTACAATACATTATCCCACTGCAATACATCCACTTATTGTTTGATTTAATTGACAACAAATGAAATTTATTTCAATAGCAGTCCGTTCAGACAATGTTTTCGATTTCCGGTTTGGTATAAGATCGATAATGCTGGCGTTCTACATTTATCTATGTATAGCTTCTAAAAAGAAATGCTTGAAATTTCTAAGAGTTTCTTGTTCACCTGCGATAATAGCAAACTGTTCTGCTCTTATTCATAGCGTCGCGCTTATCATGTGACAATCGACCTAGCAGCGATAGTCGTGGAGATCGCCTGCTAAAAAAGAGTTGAGGGGAATCTTAGAGAGGGGAATCGAGCTAATATGCTGGCGGAAGGGGTACGCAGGAAACCATGGTGGAGGGCGTCGTGCGCTATTCTGACAACTTTGCTAGGAACTTTCATTAAACAAAATTCAGTTGTTGGTGAGCATGGATCGTGAAACGTGTATTTGTTACAAAGAGTGAGAGAGAGAGAATGTGTTCGACGACACCATTCGAAACTGGACTGATAGCAGATAAGTGCAATCGCTAAGTAGTCATCAAAGATATAATGACAGAATGGAGACTTGAATCTATAAAGGGAAAATGGCGAAGATTGTGAAAGGGTCCGAATCATTGCCTACGATTCTGATCTGTGAATATTGCACTAACCTTACGTTCAAGCAAATTGAAGATTTCATAAGGTGGGTCCCACCTGTCCATCCTCTAGAATCTGTAATTATAATGAAAAAGTATCTGTTAAATGGAATTACTCTTGTTTCACATGATTTTTTAACAGTATATCGTACAAATTAATTTATTTAAAATCTTCAAGACTTGTGGTATAACGTTCACTTGTACAATTATTAATGATTAGAGAAATATTTAGTATGTCATATGTATTGACCAATCATATTAATTTTATTTCAGACATTTGAGAGATCAGCACTGCTCTAGGGAAGGTGGTTCATTCGTGTGCCTTTATGGTTATAATGGAGTATGTATTAGTCTTCCTGTGGAAGGTGTTTCCGATAAAGATTATGTAGCACACGCTACTAAGCATGCGACAATGCAGCAACACAAAAGCAACGGGGACTTGTCAGAGCCTTCATCTTCATGGACCGTGTATTCAGCAGCACAAAATTTGCCAGCTGTCCTAAACGATCCCTTCAAAGGAAAGCAGAGCAATTTTTTAACTCGTACTTGGGGAGATGGATTCGTTGAAAAGGTTGACATACCTAAAAGTCCTTATCTACCAGACATCACTATGCAACATTTCGAATCATATCTGAAGAAGATTGCAAGGGTAACTAACAGATTCTTAATTTAATTCCAAATTAATACATTCCTTAATTAAGTATGTTATTTTTCGTTCGCAGAGGTATAGGAAACATTCTCGTATGAATTCAAGTGTTAAGAGACCGACCACACCAAATGAGTTGCTGCAAAATTTCCCAAATTTGCGGAAGGTTAAATCTTTAGGTAAATTTATATTCGTGCAGAAATAAAACTAATAATATTTTCATTTTATGATCTGTAATTGTCCAACTTCAAAATTTACAGATCGAATGCAATTTGATTTATCCAATATTCCGAAAATCTTTTTGACACCCAACTTAGATCTCTCCCAGAAAGATAATTTTTATGCGGTATTTCCGTTTACAAAAAGCGGATTGTTAAATGAGGATTCTAATATTGTTATCCACGTAAAACAAATGCAAGAGAAGGTATGCATGCGCATTCATAGTGCATATTGCTTAAGCCACAAAAATGTAAGCAATTAATACAATGAGATGTGTTTTTATAACAGCTGAGTCACTATTTAGATGTTGTGGAAGTTAGAATAGCAGAGCAAGTTGCTTCCAAGTCCCAAGCATTTTTCCACGCTATGACTTCTCATGACGCTTTAATGGAGCAACTTACGCAAACTATTACAGTTTTAAAAGCCCTTAGGAGAAATATACACCAAGTTGATAAGCATCTAGTCAAGGATTCATTAGGAATTTTGAAGTAAGTAACTGCATTTAACAGTTCACCACAGAGACATCGCTTATTTAAATTTGAATGAATCTTCAGATTGGAGCGAGCACGGTCCAACAGATTATTAGTCCAAGAGAAACTGAAACTTATGGCTACAGTGCACCAGAGTCAACCGATGATTCAATTATTATTATCTACGCCAGACTATGTTGCAGCGTTAGATCTCATTGCTACGACACAAGAAATACTTCTGCAGGAATTGAACGGCGTACACAGTTTTAGGTACGTTCATATGGTCCGATATGCACAGAACAATTTGTAAATCTTGTGTTTAATTCCTCATTTTTAATTTAGGCATTTAAGTTCACAATTAACAGAAATGGAGAAACTCGTTGATAAAATGTTGTCTACGGAATTCCAACGCTACGCAACTGCGGATTTGAATAGACCGTTAGGAGGAGAGAATACAGTTTTGGATGGTGTAAGTAATTGTGTAATCTTTTATCGTAACGTAAACCTAGTTCGTAGCAAACAAACCGTCGTGCATCTCTTCCCAGTGAGATCATTTGTACATCCTCAACGAACAGGATAAACTTGTTTCCATCATTTCTGGTCTTCTGCGGCAAAAGCATTTTCAATTTGTGGATACTTATAAAGAGGAGGCTGTGACGACGGTCCGGGCTGTGACGAAACAGAGAGTCATAGAAGCTTTGACAGCCAGCGATTGTTGCAGCGATCAACAAGCCGCGGCTCTGGAAGTCGGGGGACTTTCTCTCGCGGAGAGATTAACGTTACTTCACAATTCTATACAATCTTTGACATTCCTTCTTATGAGAGTGAAGGTACTTAAGACATTACGTTATTGATAAGAACAAAATTATGACGTCTTGAAATTTGTGTAAGAGGTTTCTTTAAGCCGCTGTAACATCCAGTAGTTGAATTGAAATTGAAATTGTAGAAAT